GACAGGGTGAACGCAGCAGGTTTTTGCCTCTTTTTTATCAAATACCAGTAATTAGGATTGTGGGTAGGAGCAGCCAGTGTGGAGACAGGAAACAGGCCCGAGTATGATACCTGGAATTCCAGCAAGAGGCTGAGCTGCTGATCCCCTTTACGTAACAGATTATCAACATCGACACAGGTTTTTTTCCTTTCATTTTCATAAACATGCCAGAGCTGCTCAGCAGACCTTGTTTTTCCACCAAAGCAAGGCAATAAAAAAAACCCTCCCTGTGGACAGAAAGGCTTCGGTATGAGAGAGGATTTCTTCCTAAATCAAAAGGAAGTGGGGCTGTGGAAGGTACACTATATCCAAGGTTATTGCTTTTTCATGTTGGGGCACTGTGTGGACATGAACAGTTGTGTTGCCAGTGGTTGCATAATAGACAAATAAATTGCATCCAATGTAATGTTAACTCAATTTGAAATCATCGGGGGGGGGTTAGCACTACTAGTGAAGCGGGGGGGACCCGGCGCAGAATACTGACAAGGAGCGCACAACGGAACCGGGCTCACAGCCTCCAAGACCAACAGAGGCCAGCTGACTTAAAGCGGCTCCGACCAGGACTATGACTCTGGGTAAGAAGACAAGGCGGGTCCAGCCGTGAAGTGAAGTCGGAAGTTATTTTTTCCGTGTTTTGAACGAGACTTGTGTGATGTTATACTGTGTTGAAATAAATGAACCAAATTCAGTCTCCTTGCTGGTTGTTCACATTCAGCGTTTATATGTGGGTAAATGTGTGTTGTCGTTGTATGGTATGACGGTTGCGAGGGAAGTTTTGATACTTTGGAATTCCTGAGCCTACAGGGGGTTAAAACACTAAAACACACATTATGGGTAGACTACACCTTAAAATAAACTCTGTGGTTTCATATTCAACCGTTAGCAGGAATTTTGTTGGACTAGGATCAGATTCAGCTGTCTCATCTGACACTGTTGTCCACCGAGTGTGTCAGCTTGCTGTCAACCAAACAATGTTGATGTTGTTTCAAAGTAAAAAATAAATAAACACAATATCCTGAAATGGTACAAAGCAGTATTGGAAGGTTATTATGCACACTCACCAGAATGAAGTCCGTCTGATACGTCGACAGCATGAAAACAGAGATGTTGTGGTCGGCCAGTGGTGCAATGACTGATTTAGCGATTTTGGTGACTCCGATGGGCTGCGAATTGGAGGCGTTGCCGCCTCCTGACACCACGTTCAGCGCCAACCATGTGGCATCAGCAACACTGATGTGCTCTGACTGGGGCAACTCTGGGAATAGACAGAGACAGTCATGTCAAAAAGAGCGGCTGCAGCATTTCTGTCACAGACACCTACAGGCCTTGAGAAGAGGTGGCTTACAATGATTTAACACTAGCTACTGTAAAAGAGGATACTGGGTTCGACACACTGACTTCTTTCTTTCACTTATAGTGAATGTAACACACAGTTGTATTTAGACAATGTACAACAGTGATTTAACCTGCAGTCAGTTCATTAAACGTTTTATCCTCTTTCTGAACACCCAATGTCTGCAGACTCTTTCCAGGAAAAAGGTTATGATACACTTTTGGACACCAGTTTGAAATAAATTGAAAAGAAACTGGGAAGTTAGGGTGAGTAATGAGCATGTGTAATGGTTGTTCCTCATTTTTGATGAGTTCTAGTTCCTGTTTTTCTTCTTATATACACATGCTTTTTATTTTTAAAAATACTGCACTATTGCTAGTGTCTTTTATAAACTGGAATTATGGGAAATACAATATTACTCACAGCCTGTACTCTTGGTTGAGCAAAAGAAAATGTTCTTCTTTTTTTAAGCAAAAATAGCAAATATTTGCTGGTTCCAGATTCTCAAATGTAAAGATTGCACGTATGATCAACTTTTAATTGCATCCAATGCAATTTTGCAATTGGTATACCACTGTAAAACAGCTTAACACCTTAAGGACATCCCTTTGGGTTCTGGGAGGTGGCTATGGGCTAACATTTCATCAACCATTAGTTCACTGGTTCTTGATCTCAATTTTTTGCAATCAGTAACAATGATAGGGGAGCCAAAGGTAAAAAAATAGCATCAGCAAACTGTTTATTTCCCCTGAATAAATCCTATTCATACAACTTTGTTCCACTCCATATTTGTCCCCTGGACACCCACGCTCCAGCTGCAGTGGCTTTATGCCCCACAGTTTGGGAATCACTGTCATAGACTAAAACATTAGTTGATTAATCAAGAAAATATCAGCAGAGTCATCCACAATGTAACTAATCATTAGTTGGAGCACTAATAATGGTTAAAAAGCCAGTTAATATACGGTAACATCTGATAGCATTGCAGTAAGTGCACAAAAAGTCTTTAATCTCACAAGATCTCGGCTGAATTATTAGCCAAACTCGACTTTAATCTAGTTCAGTTAATCAGTAACTTCTAATATAAAGCAGGTTAAGCAGTATATTAACCTAACACTAACATTTACAGCATGTTTGCCTTAATAAGTTACCGCCAATGAACTGGATTTTATAATAATTCTGAGACATTGCGATATTCACTTCAGTGTTTAGGCCTAATCGGCCCTTATTACGATGCATATAAACATACTAAAAATGTCTTTAATCTCTTCTGGCAATTTTCAAGAATTGATCCAACACTGCGTGCTTGAGTTTCATTGCTGAGTTCAACAGAAAACAGGCACCAACACACCCAGCACCAGTCACCAGTAGAAAATACCTGCACCAGCAACACATAGCCTGTAGTCTCCAGGGTAACTAAGGAGGGTCACCCTGGAAAAGGGTGTGTAATGACATGGATTCAGCTTGGCCTCACATCCATAATGACAAAGTGTGCTCAAACACTGGCAGCTGAAGAGAATCAGAGATTACACAATGTGATCTCTTCCTGCCGGATCTATGGTTGCCACAGTGACTTTAAAGATCCAGAAAGAGAGGCCCACCTTTAAAGCCTTCCTCATCGACGATTATGGTGTAGTCCTCCGGAGTCTCCGTCAAACTGAAAAACTTGCATCTGAATGGGAGAGATAGAGAAAGAGAGGACAGATCAAACAGTGGATACTGTATGTAAAAAGTTGGAGAAAATCTTCATATAAAGACGTCATTTCTCAGAACTGTCTGACAATTACTGTCTCCTCTAGCTCTGCTGCTCCCTCAAGCATTCATAACATACACATCGAATAGTCTGTTTGGAGAATTAAGGAGACAGTTTCATATGAAAAGATGCATCAATGAGATGTGCAGGGACCAACACAAGACCGCAACTTTGCCTGTAAATGTCTACTTTATCATTGTATATTGAATATGAGGCTCATAACTGAACCATCAGTAAAGCACAGCGCTGCTCTGCTCCCAATATAAACCTCCCCAAGTGCTGTGAGAGGAATCTCAGTGATCGAGAGATGTTTTTAAATATGCAAACAAAGAGACATGACCTAAAAATATCACATATGGCAAGATTAATGATGTATTTTATCTCGATAACAATAAATGCAGCAATATCTTTTTAGCCATGTAGTTTCATTTCATAGATCTATGAATGTCAGTCAGTTAGGGCTGCACAATTAATCAAATATTAATTGCGATCATGATTTTGGCTTCTCACAATTACATGAACATGGTGGTCTACGATGTAGATGTTTAAAATTTGTACTTGGCTCATAGAATACTCTGTAGCATATCAAATCAAGTGCTTCCTACAGTAAGAGCCAAACCACTACGGGTGATTGAGATGTTACTGTTTTACTTTTGGGGAGCGGTCATGTTGCTGCATGCACACTATGCTGTTGCAGCCTGTATACTTTAATTCCTGGAAAAAAAAAAATTGTATTAAGTTACTGCTAACGAAAACCTGCTGCAGCTTCACATTAAAAGCATGTAACTGGAGGAAACACAAGTTGACTTTTATTTTGAAGTAAGCTAGTCACAGGAAGGGCAGAGAGTGTTGACAGTTAGCTCGACGCTAGCTGCTATCGTTTGCACAAAACAAGACATTTTTTTTCGACGGATCAGTTTGAAATGCTAGTGCTCTGTGATTGTGAAATAACTGATCTCAACATTGATCAAAATAATCGTGATTAGCAGCCCTTTAGCAGCTCTTTAATGTCTATTTTGTTAAAACCCCCCTTGTTCTAAAAGAATTTATGCTGTCTGAAATCCAACTGTCAGGATTTAACACCAAAAATGTTCTAAGAGGTGAAGGATGCCGGTTATAATGACATAAATCATAGTGCAGCACAAAGGAAAGAACTGGAAAAACAGCACGCACAACACCACTGTGATAATCATATCTGTACAGGACAGCTACTGTGTGCTCGCACGTCATATTTGTCTGAAAGGTGTGAAAAACAACAGGGGAATAACAGAAAAGATTCGACAGTGCTTTCTATGGGAACGGCGGCGTTTCTTCTTGGAATTAAATGAGCTGTCAAGTGTCACTTTGACTTGCAGTGTGTTTTTGTAGAGCCAGGACATTGGGATGATGAGCACAGGAGTTTTTGTCTTGTGCCTGCCTGGTTTAATAATACTCCTCTAATCACGATCATGTCATTATGAGCACTACTTAATGACTTGCTTTATTATATGACAGTGTTCCATCCAGATCAACAGTGAAACAGCAAATCACTGCGGAGATTCAGTCGCTGAGGGGGACAGCACTTAGGCTGCATTACTCACATTCTGTGTGTGAGCAAGGAACTTCACAGGGAGTCTTTAAATTAGTTTATGCAGAGAAGGCCTGCAAACACACAACCTCGTCCGTCACACAACACAAATAAAACACAACAAATGTGCACCAATTCATTTTTTTTGAGAGTTGCTGATTCAAGTTAACGAGTTGAATATATTTGATAATGTGTTGTCATCATTAGGCTAGTTCAATATATCCACTGTTTATATTCAGGGCTGGGTATTGTACATCAGTACTTTTCTGGCAGCAAGTATGAAAAAGAGTTGGATCAAATGGCATTAATAGATTTTTGTGGTTATCAGTTGCCTATTTACCGAGTGTAAACCTGACGTGACATCATCCATTGGTTTGTGGAGTACCGTTTTGCAGCCTCGAGTTTGGCATTACGGTCGTCACCATGACAGCGGAGCCAGCGGAGGTTACGTACTGCGAGTTCAGTGTAGTTTTGATTTGTCTGTAACAGGACACAATGCAGTAACAGAATCTTGATTTATATTTGATCAGCACTGCTAAGTTTGACAGTTTGATCTGAGTTTTGTGGGTTGACAATGAACCCGTCAAGGACAAAATAGACACGCAATAAAACATGCCCTGCTTTATGGTGTATTTGACTCTAAATAGGACCAGAACGTTAGTGTTAGTACTCTCTTTTTAAATTATCTTCTTGAGGAATACACCGATTTACCAGCCGAACATCGATATTGACTGATAGTGTTGACTGACATCGGCCTATCGGCAAATAAGACGCCGTTCATAGATGTCAGCGGCCAATGTTTATCTGTTGTGTCGAATCACTTTGGAGCTGGCTAAATGTTTTGTTGGTTATTTCCAACTAAGATATAATCAGAAATAATCACCTGCATTTTCCAGCACAAACTGCACGTGAATACGAATGTCCTCCATGCAGCATCACAGACAGTGAGTGGCAGTTTGGCTCTGCGTCTCATATCTTGGATGAAAAGAGAAATAGACTGAGCTGCAACAAGGCAGAGATGCTTATCTTTGTAGCTTTGTTTGTTTCTCTGGCACAAAAGGGGAATAAATGACAACAGAACAAACACTGGTATCGGCTGGCGGCCAAAATGTTATTTTAAACATCAGTATCGGGCCAGAATTTTCAGTATATTCACTGTTTTTTGTCCCCGCCAACTTTTGACAAAAATATCTGGCAAGTCGGTGACTTTGTCCGTCTGCAGGTAGTGTGCCGTGGGTTTATGAGATGATTTCTCCCAAAAACAGCTCCTGCTGCTGGAAACAAAGTTGATAAGAGTGTTGGGCCGGAAAACCAAAACAATGAGTTAAACACGGCTAAAAGGCTCTGCAGTGGTGACGGAAGCAATATAATATAATATAATATAATATAATATATATAACAAGCACACCAGCTCCAGACAGCGATACAAATCTCCTGCTACTATAACTAACATCACAAAAACAACATATCATGACTTAGAAAGGAAGCTGAATGTCTGTGGGCAACTCATTTAACGTTACCTGACACACAAACCCCGACTGGAATGGCTGGAATAACAAGTTAAGTGTTGTTTGGCTCGGTCCAATCCACTTTCTTTGTTTCCAATTTAGAATTGTATTACCTAGAATCACCCCACCTTTAACTAAGGCACTGAACAGGTATTGCAATGATGCCAGCATATTGGTATCATACTGATAAAGAAACTCAGTATTTTAAACGATACCCAGCTGGTATTCCTAGTCCTTCAGCTCTGACAGAGTCATGAGATTTTTATCGACTTCCTTCATCTTGTGTGTTTTCTTAAAACAAATCAAGTGAGCACTGTTGTGAATGCATGCAAAAAGAGACGACAGGTAAATCAACACCTAAGTAGTGAAGAGAGGGGGCACAATACAGCACTATGATAGGGACAAAAGCATGCTGTTGAAGGGGCTTATCAATGAGAGGAGGCATCCATGATGTGCCAAGGTTTTTGCTTCAGCAACGTAAGGCAGAGGACGGTAGACTGCAGGGAAAGGAAAAAGCCAGTAAAAGAAACTAGTTGCAAAAACCAGTGTCATCTAAGGGACACTCTTGTTCTGCACTCACATAATATGAACCTCTGTAATCATTAATGGCTGGCTGCCATGACCACCCAAACATTCAACCTCAAACAAGTGGCACCACTTAAGAATTTGCCCCAACAACACTAAATCTTGTGTCCAGCTAACCCTGGGAAGGTTGGAGCCCTTCAGGGTTTGACTAAATTCAACCGAAGATAAGGAAACTTTTGTTTGTCTCACTTTACTGTCACTGTCTTTCCTCAGAATTTCCTCAGACATTTCCTACTTGCGATAACAAAAATGAAGTGAGAGCAAACTGCAGCCTGAACCGATGCTCATATTCACGGCGCTCAACTGACCTGAACACCACAGGGGGGGAAATTACAACAAAGAAAAAAGTCCAACCAGAAAGCTAAAGTTACAGGAACTAAAAGTCAATTGTTTACAAGTGCTGCTTTACTTGTAAACAACCACACTCAGAAATGACTGTTAACACACATGCTGTAGGAGTGGATGCAGTTTATGTAATTTGAATGTATTATTTAAGGTGGATGAAAATTAGATGTATCCTGTGAAAGAAAGCTGGTCAGTGATAAGTAAGAGAAAAAGTAAAGTAAGAACTTCAAAATCAACTGCTATCTGTCAACGTCTGATGAACTACAGATTGTCCTCACCATTATCATTGCTTTTTTTATCATAGTATTCACAGTTCATATCTGAGTTCTGTGAAAATGAGCCTGTTATAGCTTGCCTGTGTGAGTGGCCGTATCAACGCTGCAGTAACACGGAGTGACAAACAAGTTGGCTGAAAGGCAAAACAACACGTATCATGTGTGTCCACTTCCTCACTGAAATCAACACAGTTATGTTCTGCATCTCCAATTTCAGACACTAAAAATGTGGCGGAAACAAATATCAAATTACTGGAAAACAGGAAAATAAATCAGCCTATATTGTATATCAGTATATATGAGGCCCGATAAGTAATCAGAAATAACAGTGAAGAAAGGCTTAAGATATGTTTGCGGTGATTTATAAATCCATTCGTTATGTCTCGCTCAGCACGTCATCACTCTTTTAAAAACACATTTAATTGACCTTATATGTTCCACGCCAGGAACATCAGCTGATATACAGTTACAGCTATTAGTCAAGCTGTACTCTCTATTGCATTATGTTATTAAACATCAGGTCCAGTGGTAGTGCTATGAAGTCCACAGTGTTTTATGTTGAAGGCAGTCAACCACTGATAACATAAAAAATGAACACATTATGAATTTATCTTCAGGGGGAAAAGAGTAGAGGTGTTTTTTTTACACAGTGAATGCCATATCCATTATTTACTGAGGGTGGCTATTGATAAGGCGGTCATCTACTCCATTAATTATGGAACGAGACTCTCTCATAGGCCTGGCCAATAAAACAACAGCAATATGTATCAGCATACTTCATCGACAGCAGTAAGAAAATCATTCAAAATACACACTGATAGTCTCACTTAAATAGCTCATTAACAGCCTATCATATCCCTTAATAATGGAGCGTGCTAGCAGTGAATCACCATAGCCGCTTTCACCCTTTGGGGTGCGCAGAAGGTCGTCAGTCACAACCTACATCGGTTACATCTCAAGAAATATTCCACAGCCAGTCCACAATACTGCATGACAAACCGGGCTGCACGATGTGGTAAAAACATCTTATTGTGATTATCTTGTGCAGCCTTAACGACAAAACATTAACATTTAAAAGACTACCTGTGTACCTTGATAAATAAAGCAGTTACATTACAAATAAAGTGGTTAAATTCACACTTATTTCATTAAAGAACTTCAGCTACATCCCCCAGCTCTAATCTCTCAGGATCGGTCATGCAGACAGATTCACATGTTTTAGCATTAATGCCACCACACAACAGCAGACAGCTGAGGGTTCAAATACTGAGAACAGACAATATAGCATTAGGTTTGGTTTAAGTTACCTCGAAGCATTTACTTCTGCTGATGTGAGGCATCCATGTTTGTTTGGTTTTTGGGCATCACTGTGTTACTTAACACCAAGAATTTATCTGAGCTTTCAGTGAAGTTACCCAGTCGTATTTATGAGTTGGACGTTGAAACAAATCCAATTTACCAGCCTGAAACTGATAATTACAGCAACTCCAATATCACATGAACGCAGCATTACCACCTCTGCTGAACTGGTTTCTGGTGGGTAATCCTGCAACACGCATTGATGAGGGCAATGTGTGCAGAATATATATATATATGTATATTTATAAATTCTGCTTATTGTTTGCAGTAGAGAGCAGATTATGCAAACTGCCGACGTGTAGCTCTGCAGCTTCTCTGAATGGACTTCAAATAGCAGCTGTGGCTAAAACTAATCGGTTCTCACTTAATAAAAAAAAGAAAAAGGTGGTGGAAAAAGCTGGGAAATCACAGAATATATGTGTAATTATTACACTGCAGCAAGCTTTGACTATAAGAATCGCTAAAAGCTACTTTGGAAAGATGATGTAGTTCGATAAGAATGAAGAGATGACTCTGTCTGCAAGGTGTGCACGTAGAAAAGATCCCACTGGTTAACATTATTCTGTACAACCGCATTACTCAAAGTGTCTATATGATCGAACATAGGAGGCTTATGCAACCAAGGAGAACTAAATGTGATTGGATTCTGTTTTGAGTTTGGAACTGAAACAATTAACCGATAAGTCGATCGACAGAAAATGAATCATTTAATGTTTTTTGTCCTGTATACATTCTTAGGTTCGAACGTATCTGAAATGAGAATTTGCTGCTTCTTTCTGTTGTATATCATTATAACATGAATACATTCAGGGTTTGGACTCCTGGAGGGACAAAACAAGACATCGCCTTGAAGTCTAGAGTCATTTTATTGATCAGACTATTAATAAAAACTAATAATGCAAAACATTGGTTAGTTGCAGCCCTATTTAAGTGAAATCCAGTGGGTCATTTGTATTACTAATCGTCTCAGCACAGGAGAGAGAGAGAGAGA